CATCGAAGTGGTGGGCATAGTGTTGCTATAATGAGCAACTAGTGGCGTATACGTAGTTTGGAGCACTGAATTTTCAGTTCTGGTGGTGGTTGACAGATCCGGCCATTATTAGGGCAGAAGAAGCTGGTGGTTCTACGAATTGTAGTTTCATGGGAAACAAGCACTGAGAGAAGATACTAGCTAGGTGACGCTGAAATGACGTAGTGATCATGTGTCCCCATTTGAGTCTTGACCATTTCTGCATTTGCAACTTCTCCTGTCTTTGTACTTGATAGTCATACAGCTGCTAACCAGGGCAGTGATCCTCTTGTGCCCTTGATAAGGTGTGATTTCTCAAAAATATTAATCAGAATCCTCAGAAAAACAGTCATGATTCATCAAAGAAACGTAGGCACTTACACTTCAACAAGTAAGTATGATGCAAGGCTGTAGTGAGTGAAGCATTTTGTGTTATGAAATGGGTGCGCTTGCATATGCTGAAAATCACATTTTGCATATACAAAGAGCGCTCATGTTCCATGCAGGGGATCACTACAAATGTGAAATGCATATACAAATTCTAGATAAAGAAATATATCTTGTAATATAGAACCTAATCTCCAGAGACTGTTTTGTAAGCTTGTACACGCGCGCCAACAAGCAAGGCAACAATTTTTTTTTTTTTGAGGGGAAAGCAAGGCAACAAATTAATGGTACGCTGCGTGCGCATGCACGCAAGCATCGTCCGCGTGCTAGTCCTTGGCAATATCTTTGTGGAATTCTAGCTGCTATAGCGTGATTAGCTCGGGCAGATTTTTAGTTTTGTTTGGAGGTGACCAGTGGTTCTTGCTTGTCGGGACAGGTATCCACATCTGTCGGTCCTATTTTTATCTCGTTTTGATTTGATCACTCACAGCTTTTCATGTTTTGTCTTCGGCTATTTGGCTGAGCCTTAACTTTCGGTCTCTGCATTGAGCAATGGACACAGGCATACAATGGACAGTTGCCACACCCAAGCTTGGGGAGCCCGGGCCTGGGTTGTGGCCCCGAAAGCCTTCATTGACTGTAGAGTTTGTTGCACTGTTTCACACTGTACATCCCTGTACCACTAAAGCAGGTCCGGGGCCCAGTGCTAGCCTGGCTCCGCCCCTGACAATGACATGTTAGTTCATGCTTCGTAATTGTGTTGTCTCTTTGTTTGCTCGAGTTCTCGGGTGTTCTTTACGACAACCCAACACCGAATATGCATTCCGAAAATCGGCAGAGATCACCGGCAGGCCAGAGAAGGCAACCTGATTTTTTCCAAATTCTGCATGGACAGTGGGTGACACGTACCATCAATTCCCATCCTGGTCGTTGGCCTCACAAAAGCCTTGAGCATCAGAAGATCCCGCGGAAAAGTCGCGTTCACACGCACGGAGCCTTCCTCACGCATCGCGTGGAAGGAAGGAGAATGTCTGAAGATTCACTCTCAGGTTGTTGCAAAACTACCACCTTGGGTTGCCAAACATGTAGCCACGCCGGGCCGTGTCGTCTTGGTCAAGGCAGGGCTTACAACCATTGCTATATATATATATCATATTACATCCTTGGAATTGCATGTGGAAGTGAGGAAGAAGATTGACATCTTGCAGCGTGCCTATCTTTGGGCGGGTTTTGATAAGGTGACCGTTGGAAAATGCAAGGTCAACCAGAAACTCGTTTGTAATCCCAAGAGTTGTTGTAGTTTGGGCATCCTCAACCTTGAGAAGTTTGCTACTAGCCATCGACTGCGATGGCTTTGGTATGCGTGGGCTGACCCGCCCAAGACTTGGGCTAGGACGGGAACACCGTGCAATGATGATAAAGACCTTTTTGCCGCAGCCACAACTGTTAGTGTTGGAGATGGATGTAAGGCGAAGTTCTGGGAATCATCTTGGCTCGACGACATGAGACCCAAAGATACTTGACCTCTCAAAAAAGAAATCTACCTCGGTCCAAAAAGTTCTCCTCAACAATTATTGGGTTAGTCAGATTGATTCCCACCATGGACTTACCATGGAGTATATTTAGGAGCTTGCCTTGCTTTGGGAGAAGCTATCCTCTCTTACTCTTGACAATGATGTGCATGATACTATCCTATGAAAGTTCACGTCTCATGGAGAATACTTGGCGTCGACTGCCTATATGGCGTAGTTTATGGGACACACGACAAGCATCATGCCTGCTGCTGTTTGGAAGGGTTGGCCCCCTCCAAAATGCATTTTTTTTGCTTGGTTGATAATTCAAAACAGAGTTTTGAGGGCCGACCAATTGCACCATCGTGGATGGCCAAACTGCAACCTCTGCCCGCATTGCAAGCAAGTCCAAGAAACCGCGGCACACCTTCTCTTTCAATGCAGGTTCTCCCAGCGTGTCTGGATCAAGGTTGCAACATGGCTTGGTATACATGATGATGTGGTGAGGAGCTGGCGAATGAGGCTTAAGTTCTAGAATGGCGGATTAAAAATGTGATTGAGTGTGGAGATCATAGAAAGGCTATCGCCTCCTCGTTCATGCTTATGTCTTAGGAGATTTGGAAAGAGCATAATATAAGGGTTTTTCGTAACAGCACCGCTACGACGATGATGCTCGTCTCGAATATAAAAAAGAAGGCCCATCTTTGGGCTATTGCTGGTGCCACCCACTTGAGTATTGTCATGCCGCGAGAGTATATATTTGTCTCCTGCTTTGCGCTCATTTGTCTTGAATCTTCTCCCTCAATCAATGAAAATGGCAAATCTTTTGCCTTGCTTAAAAAAAATGGTGAGGGGCACATTCACTACAAACTGACCCACACATTTTCCAGCTGACCATGCAAGCATTTGCAAGTCAAAATTTCCCATAAACTCCTTATAAGACAAAATGGAGGCTTTTATGGCGCACAGTAGTTGGTGCCCACAAACACATGATAAGCCGGAGTCTATATCAAAGGTTGCTCGATGTACCAATCGATCCATCAGTAACATCGAAGTGGTGGGCATGGTGTTGCCATCATGTTGACCGCGCAGGTTGCTATCTGGAAGTCCCATTTTCCAGGCTCTAGCAAAGGACTATTCCGTATATGTACGAGCAACTACTGGCGTACATAGTTTGGAGCACTGAATTTTCAGTTCTGCTAGCGGTTGACAGACACGGCCATTATTAGGGCAGAAGAAACTGGTGGTGCTACGAATTATGGTTTCATGGAAAACAAAGACGGAGTGAAGATACTAGCCAGGTGACGCTGAAATGACATAGTAATGTGTCCCCCCTTTGAGTCTTGGCCATTTCTGCATTTGCAACTTCTCTGTCTTTGTGCTTCATAGTCATACAGCTGCTAGCCAGTGCAGTGATCCTCTTGTGCCCTTGATAAGGTGTGATTTCTCAAAAATGTTATTCAGAATCCTCAGAAAATTAGTTATGATTTTTCTAAACAAAAATGTTTAGGCACTACTTCAACAAGTAGGTGTGACTTAAGAGTTGTGAAGTGAGTATAGCATTTGGCATAATGAAATGGGCGCGCTTGCATATGCTGAAAAGCACGTTTTGCATATACAAAGAGCGCTCATGTTCCATGCTGGGGATCACGGCAAATGTGAAATACATATACAAAATCTAGATAAAAAAGAAATATATCCTGTAATATAGAACCTACTAATCTCCAGCGACTGGTTTGTAAGCTTGTACACGTACGCCAACAGGCAAGGCAACAAATTAAGGGCACGCTGCGTGCGCATGCATGCAAGCGTCGTCCGCGTTTAGTCCTTGGCAATATCTTCGTGGATTCTTGATTAGCTCGCGCAGATTTTAGTTTGGTTTGGAGTTGGACCGGTGGTTCTTGCTTTGCCTTGTCAGGTTAGGTACCCACATCTGTCGGTCCTATTTTTATCTCGCTTTGATCACTCACGGCTTTTCATTTTTTTTGTCTTTGGTTATTTGGCTGAGCCTTATTCAGGGCACAATGGCCTATTTTTTTAAAAAAGAAGGATAACTTTCAGCCTCTGCATCGAGAAATGAACACAATCATTGTAGTGGCGAAGCTACATCCCAGGCTTGGGCCGCCCAGGCCCGGGTTGTGGCGGCGAAAGCCTTCATTAACTGTAGAGTTTGTTGCGCTATTTCACACTGTACATCACTGTAGCATTGAAGCAGGCCCAGGGCCCATCTCTGCCCCTGACAATGGCCTATTAGTTCATGCTCCGTAATTGTGTTGTCCTTCTGGTTGGGCGATTCTCAACTGGAGATGACTAGTTTCTACTGATCGATCTACATATCTCACCTAGAATAAATCCTAAAATTCTTGCGGCTTGCTCGTGTTCTCGGGTGTTCTTCACGACAACCCAACATCGAACACGCATACCAAAAATCGGCAGAGATCACCGGCAAGGCAGAGAAGGCAGCTGGAGTTTTTCCAAATTCTGCATGGACAGTGGGTGACATGTACCATCAACTCTCATCCCGGTCGTTGGCTCTCCACAAAAGCCTTGAGCACCGGAAGATCCCGTGGAAAAGCCCCGTTCACACGCGCGGAGCCTTCCGCACGCCTCGCGTGGAAGGAAGGAGGAGATCGTTTGAAGATTCGCTCCCGGGCGCCAGTTTCCCACCACGTACGTCCACCGCCCCTCGCCCGATCCCGGCCGTCCGGCGCCCTGGTCGCCTCCATCCCACCGGCCGCACTACTCACGGATCGCCGCGGCCGTCCACGTGGCCCGATGGGCGCCCGGTTGGGGAGAAAGCCGCCTGCGCGAGACCCCGAGACGTGGTCTCCCGCCCTCCACGTCCAACTTCCATCCGCCCGCCATGGTCCAACTTTGGCACGTCGCCTTCAACCTCCAGCCTCTATGTATATATATAAGCTGTGTCGCGCGAGCCAGACGATCCTCTCTCTCTTCCCCTCCCTCGCTCTTACCACGAAGCTCAAGCCGGACCTAGCTCAAGAAGATCTAGAGCTAGCATCCAGGCTTGAGATCGATATATACGATCATATATACGATACGCACCGTTCGGGAGGTCGATCATCCATGGGGAACTGCTTGAAGCTGCAGCGCGCCTCCGAGTCGTGGGTTGACGACGACGAGTGGGAGGTGGACGTGGTGGAGGGGAAGACGGCGGCCGGCGAGAACGAGAAGACGGAGCGGGTGGAGGTGAAGATCAGGGTGACCAAGAGGCAGGTCCAGGAGCTGCTGCAGCAGGCTGCCCGGGACGGCAAGGGGAAGAGGGCGACGGAAAAGGTGCTGACGGATCTGATCAACTCCGGCACGGTGTGCTACCACGACGATCACGAGACGAGGGGGCACTGGAGGCCGTCGCTGCAGAGCATCACCGAAGCCGAAGAGCCTTGACTTCGATATGTAGGACAGTTCCATGGATCTCTTGATTATCATGTGCGTATATATAGTTGCTGTATGTAGGAGTGCAGGCATAGGTTTTTGGATCGAGATTCTATTAGGAGATGTACAGACTGCAGAAATGCTGGTAGCAGAGATTATTTTTTGGGAGTTCCTCTTCTGGAAATCTCTTATATTTTGAGCTCTTTTATGGTACCCCGAAATGAATACTGACCGTTCATCTCTAAAGATCCAACGTCCCAGAAAGATGTATACCGCTTGAATTGGGTTAGCTGTACACCATGCACTGCTCGTTCAACGCTAGCAGTATATGAGATTTGAGGGCAATTTGGGAAGATTTTAAATTTTCAGCTCGTCAGACGTATTGATGCGATGCGACCCACTCGTTCTCCCTTTCATTCTGCTCCGCCGTCACGCGCATGCATCTCGGCGAGCGCATCTCCCGCCCATTCCTCCATCAGGCCGTGCTAGTGGACCAGACGCTCGGTGGCTCGGTGCAGGTTCTCACCGTCTCCTACACATCCTCCTCTTCCTCGCCAGGCCGTATGTGAGGCGCTGGCTTAGGCTGCTCATCGTGGCCTGATTCACGGCGGTGGTAGCAAAAACACCGGACGCTGCTGACGAGCTCGCCGCCGTTGAAAAGGCCATACAGAAATACATCATCCCCCGCCACGGCTCCCAGGCAGCAGTACGTAGGCGACAGGTGCACATGGATAGTTTAGTATTCACCTTTGTAGAGTTGGCCTTGTCGAACACCAATTCAGGTTTTAAGTTGTAAAGTCAGTCTGTTGGCAATGTCAGTGATGGCTCGGTTATTTCCTAGGAGCAGTAGTGAGCACCTGGAAGAAAGTTTTAACGTCACTCGGTTTCTACGATGCAATCATACCACATATATATACCCAATCACGGATAACTGAACTTGTAATCCATAACAAGGCAGAGGATGTTCGAGGCCTGCCACAAGGTCACGGATGTGATGTGCGAGCCTGCAAGGTCTACAAGAGGAGCATGGCGATTGGACGGAGCCAACTAACGCAGTGGCAAGAGGGGCCGAGGGGAGCTGGACGGCCGGCTGGGCGTGTGGGGATGGCGCGTTGGGATTGAAGTGGAGCTTGGCTGCTTGGGGCTGCGGCGTGAGGTGAGATTGCTAGGCGGCGGCGTTTTCTCTCGATAGCGATGACAGATTTCAGATACAAACAAAGAGTTGAGTTTTAATGTGAAAATTAGGGACTAAACTACCCTCAAGAAATCAACGGTGAGATTAGATATATACTGCTCCCTTCTCCTAGCAGTATAGGGTACCATAAAAAAGCTCTATATTTTTCTACCAATGTGTTTTTAGTCTGTAATTAATCCCGGGACCTTTCGAGTATTCAGGGATAGAGGAGACATATATGAAATGCTATCTTCAAACGTAAACTGAAAGCAGAACAAAATGCATCCCTGAGTTTGTCCAAAAAACTTCACACTTCTGATTGGCTGTTCTAGTGATTAAGAAAAGATTAGGCGTAAAGGTGACGCGCGTTCACAGATTCATTACCAAGCTAGGGCCGGTAAATGCAGGCGCTATATGCTCACCCACTATTTTCGTCCCTCTAAGCGCAGTCAAACTGATTGACAGCTGCGATTACATTACTAGCATCGACGACTTATATTCCGCACTGAATTGGTCCAGTCTATGGGCTATGCCTATCAGTTATTTATTATTCCAAGGACAAATATTTGTCCTTATGTTAGACGAACGCGTTTATTTTTGACGGAAAACAGTAGGTGAGTTGTCTACTGTTCAAACAAATTAAAGAATTATAGTGTTACATGCAAGTATTTACAGAAAAGCAGCAACATCTAAGAAGAAAGCTACTGAAATGTATCCACCCATACAGCAAAAGCTGAATAAGATGCTTTGTTAGCTCTATGTAAGATGAGCTTCCCGCTCCCGTGCAACGCGGCCGTCCCGCACCAGCGCGTCCCCGCCTCCCACCTCCCACCTCCCTGCCACCACTCTCCTCTCCGCCTCCGCTGGCGCCGCCGCCAGGGCAAAGCCTGAGCGGCTCGACGGCGGCGGCCTTCTTCTCGCGCGTTAGCTGCTCAAGATCGTTGTGGCGGTTCCAATCTCGATCTTCTCGGCGGTGATGGTGGACAATGACGACTGGAGTGTGGCGCCGGGTCTGTAGCCACAGCGGCTCAACCTCCGGTTCAGCTTCGCTAGTGCTCCTGGTTTTGATCTGCATCACGCGGACGCATGTGGCGGCAACCATGGGCTTGGCGGTGGTGGTCATCCTCCGTCAAAGGTGGTTGGCCTGAGTCTGGGTGGTCGGATGTCGAGATTGGTCATCTAGTCCCGGCTACGAGTCGGGGAGACATAGTTGCCGATAAAAATTGAGCCGACGACGAGCGATGGTAGCATTCTGCGTTGTTACCTTGATGAAGGCATAGTCGTGTAACTATTGTCTGTCGACCCACTTGTGCTGCTACGGGAGAAACCCTAGGATCTGGTCTTCCAGATCGGATGATGGTGGCACTGCGGTGTTGGTTTTCTCTTGGGCGCATCATTTGTGGAGCAGTGCCGGAAGACAGAGGCAGGAGGTGGAGGGGCTTCGTGTTGCATGGAGCTTCGGTGGAGATATCAGGTCATGCCTAGCCGACAGGTGCTACGCTCTGACATGCTTGTTCGCAGGTGCTACGCACGACAAATCTTTTAGAGACTTCAAGTTGCGTCGGTTGGTGGTACTTGGTGGCATGGTGCTGCCGTGTACTGGCGACAATCGCGACGTGATCAGCAGTTTGCGCGCAGGGATGTGATGCCGTTGGGCGCCATTGTGGCGTAGACAGATGGCCGGATTGGTAAAGATGATGAGGATCTCTTTTCTGAAGATGGGTCAGCGATTCGATGATGATGGTGGCTTCTAAAACATGTGCATGTGGTGTATGCTTTAGGTGTGCTCCATCAGCTGTAGGTTCCGATACGTTGTGTGGATGGATTAGCGACGACACCGGTTTTAGATATGGGGGGTGAGAGCACTCCATATTATCGAGTTTGTAGGTGTGAGTGATGGCCTCGAATGACTTGATATTTTTTTATCAAACCTTTATTGAATAATTAATAAAGATGTTTATATGCATCGATTGATGTAGAGATCAGGAGTTTAAACCTTCTTTTTCAAAAGAAACTGTGAGATGAGCTTCATTCATGAAAAAGACTCAACATCTGTACAGACCGGGGGTCTTCTTATGTTTGAACATGTAGTCATTTCTGCAAATCTGTTAGAATAAATCTGAGACATATTGTTGATCATTCAAAAATCAAGCAATCACATGAGTCATGACATCGAGATTTGTTAACGAGGTTTATCGATATGATTATATCCTTGAAGTCTGACTACGGGCGCTCCTCCTCATGACACCGTCATAATACCGCACATCAGCCACGCGGGCATCGGCACACACCGCCGGCTCTCCTTGTGTACCTGTGCTATTATGTTGGTATATATATGTTACATCGTGTGTCTACCTCGCTATATATGAGAGGCCTAGGATACAAGTGTCCTACTTGGACACAACTCCATATCTTGTCTACACATCGTACGACTCCAGATCCAACTGTAACCTAACTTGTACAATAATATTCGACACAACTCTAACAAACTCCACCTTGGCGAATATTCTTCACCACCTTGCATTTATCCATGCGTCAAACCTCCGTGTATATTGGACTTGAGATATGCCATGAGCACCGCTGCTACTCCCAGACTCCACGTGACTCCACCTGCAACTGTAGTCCCTTCTCATCTTCTTCACAGTCAACACTCGAGCAAAATTAAGTTCCTCATTACTTTACTTTGTGATCCCAAGTTCCGGAGTATCCGATCAACCTCATCACACACCGACCACTGTCTGCTGAAAGTGAACAACTCACATATTGAACGCCACATATGAGAGTTACCTGAATTCAACGTCGCCGCTCTTTCTTGACCGTCTGTCTGAAACTTGAAGAGATTTCACCGTCGCCCTGTGTCACCCTGAGTCGAATTCACAGTTGCCTCACCCTTTTCCCGGATAGTCATTGACATGTACCAAAGCTATAGCACTCCGCCTCCTTCTGTACTTGTTATCCGCACTTTGCCATGTGCACTGAACACCACAGAATATACGACCATGTATTCTCTCAGCTTTCGACAATTTCAGACTTTCTGCCACTTTCTCAGATTCTCCACAGTCAACTCATGTCCATCAACTAGTACTGATATACCCAGTCACCAACTTGAATCTGGTGCTCATCAACACTGCTTCGGCATCCCTGCATACTTTGTCTGACCACATGTCTGACCACCAGTGCCTTGGCCTGTCGCTGTGTTCCGTGCTTACCGCACGTGTCGCCGCTATCACCGCATCGAGCCTCTGTTGTCCTAGTCGAGTCTCCCGGGTAGCTAGCCCATACCGCCTCAACCCCCACTGCAAAGAACCGCCGATCATCATCGACCGATGCCGCGTGTCACGTCTCCAACAGACCACTGGTATCCAGTTTGAAACCACGTGTCTCTCGCTATATCGCTAAAATAGGCTTTGACTCTCCGTTAACTTACGGCGTAGCCCCTCCATCAGCTCAGAGTGAAGTCTTCCACCAGACTCCAGCTCCACCTTCAACATTACTCCATGTAGCTGGTTGTGCTACCCGCGCCCTATCGACTTCAAGATTTCATGTGTACACTGTCTTGAATCAGCCCTGCCTCATAGTCCATCGAAGCCGCACAAGCCCTCAGACCTGCACCACGTGTTTTCACGCCCCAGAAGTCGGCCACCATCAGCATCACGCTCCTACGTCGTCGTTGCTGAAATCACCGCCGTCTTCTACTTTGACCAACATCCATGTCAGTCCATCAGACAATCCAGTCTGACCCGACCGAATTATTCGGCTGCAACCATGCTTTATCCTCCTTCTTTTCCGCCTGCACATCTTTGTGCATTGCTTAACGCCCCGTGTATGCATGATCCCT